GTAAATGGTGATAATACTTATGCCTTCCGACCACATTACACTGGTTACTCTTGTATTTGAGGCCCATGATAGCACTATGCCTTTAATATGCCCAACATGTTCATTGATGAGCTTAGTACAAAAGAGAACTCACTGTTAGCACATTTAAATTGCCAATTTTTCAACACTTTCCGGTTTAATGAAGAAGCTGTTGTAACAATTGTTCTTTCTGTGAAGTCATCTGTGCTATGTTGCTGCCACCTTTTTTGACCTACATCATTGTTTGCTGTAGGTACTATTGGAATTGTTGATTATACAAACTATGATGACATGAAGTATGCTGTAAGTTCCGCTTCTCCTTTTTGGTGTCACTTCTGGTGTCTTGCTAATTTTCAGTACACGGAATGCTGAATTTTGTTACACCTGTATAATCTTGTATGGGGTTTTCTAGCTGCATTTACTTATTTTTGTGAAGGTGGAGAAATAATTTGCTCGAATTATCCTTTTTGCAGATAAGGAAGCTTGATGATACTGAATTTAAAAATGCATTCTCTCGAGCGCCTATAAGGGTACACTTAGATGTCTATTTGTAGTTCAGTTCTGGGCATTGACTTGTTCTGAAATTAATTAACACACCATCTTATTGTTTCCTGAAGGTGAAGGAGTATGCTGGCAAAAGCAGCCGCTCCTATTCACGCAGCCGTAGCAGAAGCCGAAGTGGCAGCTACAGCAGGAGTCCGAGGTCAGGCTTCGATCAATTCTGTTGGTCCTGTATAATGTAACTGACCACTGACCTAATTTGGATATGCTTTCAGTCCAAAGAAAAAACCATCACGCCGTTCAGCGTCAAGATCTCGGTCGAGATCAGTTTCTTCCCATTCAAGGTCACCGTCAAAGGGACGCTCTCCATCAAGGTAACTGAGCTCCTATGGCCTGCGTACCTCCTCCTACCCCAAGAAAAAGAAAAAGAAAGATGGAACAAGTAGACATCACTGCAATTATTTTATAATCAAATGTTGCTTGATATGTTGGCACATCTATTACAAAAGAAGTATGTTCTGGTTGAAACTTGAAAACTAATAGTCTGGAAAATCTTAAATATTGTTTCTCATTGATGCAATCTTTATCAACAAAAGATGCATCAATCCATCTGACATCCTAAATGTCCATGTTGCCAGGTGGCAATACACCATAACCCTCTTGCATTGGCATATCGGGTTTATGTATGATATTCTAGTTAAACCTGCTGATTTTTCCTAGTGTTAAATGGAAAACTAGTGGCATAATTATTATCTATCTGGTTGCTTGGAAACTGTCACAAGTTTTATCACACTCTGGTGTCACATGTTTCTTGTCTAACTGAACTGGCTAGTGTCCGGTGTTTCTTAAAGCCTCGAATCATTTCTTCCTTAGATGAGGGATTGTGCGGCGATCTAGGGATTGCGTATTAGGAAATTGAGGATGGGGATTTGGTCAGTTTGCACCAGCTCCCATTGGTTGACCGAGGTATGGTAATAAACTGGGAATTGAACTGGAAGCTAAAAATCATCTATTATTTTTCTTTACCTAATGGACTGTAACTGATTACATCAGAGCTTGGGCATAGAGGTTTGGAACTCTGGAAGTAGAGCATTAAGGATTGACGGTTTGGACGGCACAATGGTATTTGCTCAGATTTGAGTATGCGAGGACTGGCTCCTTCACAGGCTTCAAATTGGAGGGCTGTTCTAGCGTATATGCCGTAACATTGACACAAAACACTTTCAGTACTGCATGTTTTTTGACACAACTGATTGCTTTTAATTTCTGTGAGCCCATTTTACCTGCATTTGGCGATTGGAATGCTGGGGAGGATGGAGGTTCTTGGAAGCAAGCTATTAAAGCCCCATTCTGGATATTGATTTCTCTTGTTTTCTGGAACTTTTTGCAGATCACCAGCAAAATCCCAATCCCCTGTCGCTGCGTCCGTAAGTATTCTCAGTCATACTTTTGCAATATCTGTGTATGAAACTTACTTTGGTTGTTTTTGCTCAGCCCGTCGTCAATGGTGAAGCAGCAAGCCCCAAGAGGGACCCAAGCAAGAGCCCATCACGTTCCCGGTCTCCTGATGTAATATAACTCTTGTGCTTGTGTTTACTTATTGTCGATTGGAAAGTGTTCATTGCTCTTATGCTAAGTATCCAATTGCATTTTCAGGCCAAATCAGAGTAAAACGGATGCGAGGCTAGGAGCGGTGAGAGGCGGAGCCATGGTCTTCAAATTCTTCAAATTTTGTCTTCGCCAACTTCTGCATCCGCTGTTATAGTACTATCTCTGTGTTCGGTTATTCTAGGTTCCTTGATGTTTCTGTAAAAACTTGTTTGGATGGATTCTTGAGATTTATGTACTCTCTTCATTGTCAGCATTTTTACTTGGATTATTATCTATGGTCGTTGGCTCGGAAGATATTTGAATACAGTAACATTGCCGTTTGTAATGCTGAAAATATAACCTGGATTTGAGGTATTGGTTCAGTTTTGCGACACTGTTTACACATATCTTTTTGACATCACTTTTCACGCACACAGAACTCTGGATTTTACTAAGAGATACAACAAGCTCGGCACCACAATGACGCTATCATTTCTTGGACTTGGACTGCTTGACAATCATGACGGAGCAGTGCGCGTGGTGGGCGCAGTAGTCGCTCACGCTCCCGAGAAATGCCCTGCAACAAGCGTCCATGTTCAGGTAAAATAAAACCCATGGCTATTCGCCAGCAGCATGCGAGGCATATCATCGATTACCTCTTGATGGCACCGTAGCCATGGCTGCCGACGACGAGCAGGTCGGCGTGGTGCTTGTCTACGGCGTCGCAGAGCACGTACCTCGCCTCTCCTTCCATCACCTCTATCAGACCATGCACCTGCGTTTTGACATGAGCAGTACACGTCGTCACAGCAAATGTCTCTGATCGAGCAATGCGGCCAATGGGGAGTCGTGGCTGTTACCGAGTTGGCGACGCAGAGGCGGCGCGCCCTGTCGACGACGTCTTCGGCCCTCTTGCGCAGGTCCGCGTCCACCACCCTCACCACGTCCCCGGCGGCGGCTGAAAATTCCGAAGCAGAGTAAGCTCCAGTTCACCACGAGAGTTCCGAACAGAACCAAAGCTAGAAATTAACGGGGTTTGCGGCCGGCACCGGGGCTGCCGAAGGTGACGACGGAGGACGCGGGCGGCTTGGCGTGGACGACGACGAGCTCGGCCGCCGCCACGCCGGCCGTCGCCACGTGCCGCACGGCCCACTCGAGCGCGCGGTTGCTGTGGTCGCTGTCGTCCACGGCCACCAGCACCACCGTCTTCCTCCCACCGCTGCCCTCCGCCGTTGCAGGTGCAGCCTTGGCCTCCGCCATTGCCAGCAGACAGTGCAAGGAACAAAGCTGATGTAAGAGGGTCTTGGTCGGCAGGTCTGCTATGTAGTATGAGCCGATGAGCAGCGCGATCGAGGGGCGTATATATTGGCATGCCGGCAGAGAGCGAGAGAGCGGCCAAAACCGGAGGGGGCGGCACCGGCAGGGTGCCCCGGTTTTCGTTTGGCTAGCTGTTGGTTTTGGCTCCAGCTTTGCAACTTCCGTCCTGCGGCTGCTGGATAACGACCAGGGGCTATAGCACAGCAACAGCCCAGCCGCTCGGCCAACCAGTGCGTGCTGACCGTGACCGTTAGTTTTTCAGATTCTGCTCCCGAAGCCTGTGATTTGCCACAAGCGCAGTAAGATAATTGCCGGTCAGCACACACACGCTTTACTTTTAAGTTGTACAGCGAAGAAGATTACATAGTCTCGTATAGCGCGCAAGTGCTCTCTTGATCCCGAGCTCACATGCCCCCGCTTTTTTTTCCAGTAACACCGCTTCCGATTATTGCAGCAGCGGTCAGTAATAACACGGTCGCAGAAACGACGGTTACAAGCAGCAGCATGCATTGTCCGTGCCAAGTGCTCGAGCTCGTCAGCTGTTCCATGATACTTCCTCCGTCTCAAAATGTAAGACGTTGGGAGTACATTGCGTACAAATGGACTCTATACCTGCGCGCATCGTCCTCATGTCCTTCGGCAACACAACATCATGGGTCGCAACACAATAGGTGTGCGTGTGCAGCACCTTTCTGAAAAGAAAAGAAAAACAGTTTCACAGTGGGAAAGGCCATACAGCATTTCGAAAGAACTTCCTTTTCGGACCCGCGTGGAGTTTAAATGGATGCATATATTGGTATTCGTATACAACACTAAAACAACAGCTATGGCATCGTTTCTCAGTGTTAATAGCTGCGTACCTTTCTCGTCAGATGTTTGTCTTGTTTAAACTTGTTTCAGCTATGCATCCAAAAAATGTTGCTATGCATGGGTTAACATGCATTAGCACGGCAAACATGCAGGCGTACATGTCAAACATAAAAACCTCAGTATCTACTAATCCCACAAAATTTCTACAGAGTTCATGCAATTTTTAAAAATGGGGGCACACGCTCCTGGCCTTACAAGGACACCATTAAGGCCAGGCAAAAACTCGCAAAGGTTCTGCCAAGATCGGTATAAGTAGCGGTCAATGTATATGGAAAATATGGACATGGCAATTGCGTCCAGGATTCACGTATAAGAAGCACATTTCATAAAGGCATCACACTGTCTCCCACTCTTGCCTCCGTGGGTTGCGGATAAATTGTAGAGAGATCTATTTTTTAGAAATGGAATAGAGAGATCTATTAATGCATATACTTTAACTCGATGGATACTGTGCCTTATCTTTATTAGCATGAGAAAGCAACGATTCATTCTTGTATATTTTTCCATTATTCCTTAAGGATTACATCTAACTCAAGGTTTTTCAATGGATAAGATAAGCTGGAGAAGGAGAAATGAGCAGGCAAGAAACCAATGACTAGCACATAATCAGGTCAGTCCAAAACAAGCAAACTTGGTAAACAATCTCAATCAAGTTTATATTACAGAGTCTTAATGACTGAAAGCATTCCATAGATATATCAGGACTAAATAATAGCAAAAGCAAAAACTGCAGAGGGAACAAGAAAAGTTATTAGAGAGCTATACCAAAGCTGTAATCCTATGGTTTGGTTCTGATAACCGGAGGTCCAACACTTGTAAAAGACTCCATATAATTGTCGGTAACAACTGTCAGCCTCCACCCTGGAGTCATGCTTCCACTCTTGGTCTGCCAATGCGTGAGAAAAATGGAACATAGGGAAGGTATGGAGGAAATGTGTCATACAAGTGATATTTTAGACTGCAGATAACACAAACTTTACCACGGTGCATGTCATATGACAGTAGCACATCCTTGCACCTCCAAACAAAGAATATCAAATTGCATTCAGGATGGATTGCGATCAAAGCATAGTCCCTTTGGAACATGAGATCAGCATAGTCCCGTTGTAACATGTGATCCTTCTCCCCAGAAAGCTCCCCAAAAAGTTGTGAAGTGCTGATGTTGTACTTAAAGATCCATTCATTACTGTTATAGTCCTCGAGAATCCAGACTGATAATTTGGAGCTATCATTGTCTCTCATATTTATAAAATACAATCGCCCTTGAGATTGACCAATAAAAGCAAGAGGGCCTAAATTTATGTTTTCAACACACATAGTTTCCAGCAAAGAAATGGTCCTCCACGTCTTACCCTCCGTGTCAACTGCTAGTATCTTAAACTCACATGTGAGCAAGTGCATCATTCCATTGAAAAAGACACCTCTCATCTCAACTATCTGAATCTCATTGTTGCCCCAACCATTTTCCTTGTAACTCCAGGCTCCTGTCTCTGATGAGTAGATATTAACACCTGAGATATATCCATAGTCCTCATCACCCTCTAGGATCTGGAACACATGGAAGTGGGGTGACACGGCTCCATCGAAACCCAAACGGTACGCCAATGCATCGCTTTTATGGCCAGCATCAGGCAGGACTACCCATTCCTCAGTGGCAGGATTACATACCACATAATCAGCTTCGTGTATTGGGGAGTCTTTCCAGCAGAAGCAGAAAATAAGGCCATTGCAGCAGTCCTTTGGCAAAATCTGCCTGTATCCCGTCAAGAAGGGCAACGAGGAATCAGGGAATAGCTGCTCTTGGTCCCTCAAAATACCATTAAAAGTGGGAAATCCTATCAAACCATCCTCATTGTTGTATCTGTGCTTGGGGTAGAAGAAGCCGGAGATGGTCTGGGGCAGCCTTTTGCGGTGTTGGGAGATGAGGAGGTAACAGAGCCAGGAGACACACTTGAATCGGCACACTGACTTGACGGGCAGCAGGGACAGAATCTCGATGATAAGGTCATCTGTCAGGTCAGCAGCGGAGGTTGTCCCGTTCTTGGAGCAGTTCATCTGTGTGCAAGCCATTCTGACAAGTAGAGACGGAACACTAAAATAGTCAGATCAAATATCAGTGCATGACAGAATGAAAGGAAGAGCAGGGAGGCAGAATAGGCATACCAGTCTACTGAAGCAGGGAGCGGCAACAATGGAAGTGGCTATCAACAGCGGTTCTGCAGCTGACGGCTGGGAACAATAGTTACAGTGGCTCAGATAGTTGAATAAAATGCCAAACAACAACGAATAAATCAAAATAGTACAAGCTATTGATAGTGGCGTGTAACAAGTTCGCTAATACTATTTGAAACTTATTGGTTGCTGTTACGGCCGTAAGAGGCCCACCGGGCAATCTTAGCCCACAAGTTATCTTAGGTTAATTCTTATGCAAGTTATCTTAGGTTAATTCTTATGCAAGTTATCTTAGGTTATAAATATAGGCTGTAAGACTCTTTTTGAAATTAAGCAATAAGAAGATTATCTCTATTGCCCGGCTCCCAGAGGAGCCGGAACCCTAGCCGCCCCCTGCCTCTTGCGCTGCCGCCGCCATCTTCCTCTCCCGCGACGGCGCCCAGCCACCGGCGCGGCCGCTCATCGCCACGCCCAGCCCCCTCCTTCCCCTACTGCCTACGGCCAAGACCGGGTAGAACCCTAACTCCTAACACCTTGGTATCAGCTACCTGGGTTTCGACCATGTCATCGCCACCACCGCCGCCGCTGCCCACCAGCACCCCCACCGCCGCTGCCACCAACTCCACCACCGCCGCCGCCTTATCACCAAGCGCCACGGCCTCGCTCACCCTCCCGTCGGCGCCGATCGCCCCCGCCCCCGGCACAACGCCGAGCCAAGGCCAGCCACTGCCACCCGTACAAAATTCGCCGCCATGGCCGGCGTGCTATATGACCTGGTGATCGCCGTCCAGGGCATCCGTCTCTATTTGGCTAGCCCGTACGGGCCGCCACCGCCGGCCGTACCCTCAGGACAGCTGGTACTGCCGTGGTACTCGGTCCCCGCGGCCATCGCCGAGGGCTACCCGGCGCTACCATCGCCGGCCGCTTCCACGCCGCCCTGGCCCCAGTGGCCGACGCCAGCGCTCGTGGCGCCAACCGCGCCGCCAGTAGCAGCCCAGGGCCCGCAGTGGCCGGCCTGGCCCGCGCCACCCCCCGCCTCGCCGTCCCTCCCAGCGGCCACAGTGCAGGTTCCGCCGCCGCCACCGCCCAGCCCTAGCCTGGGCCGGTCCGCGCCGGGCGGTCTTCCGGTCCAGGACATCCGGTTCCCATCGTCACCATCTCCGCTTCCGGGCTGGCTCCACGAGACATCGCCTCCGCCGGTTTACACGGAGGCTCGGGAGCCGTCGGGGCCCCAGTTGCAACCCGGGGCATCGGGCGCCACGGGGGCCTACGCTGGCCTTCCCACCATGGACCGAGCACTGTCATCAGCTCTCAGCACCGCCGAGGCAGTGGGCCATGGCGCGCCCAACCAGTAGCCGCCCCGGTTCGCCAAGATCGACTTCGCCACTTATGACGGCTCGGACGACCCTCTTAAATGGCTCAACCAGTGTGACCAGTTCTTCCACGGGCAGCAGACACCCGCGTCGGAGCGCACTTGGCTGGCTTCCTACCATCTCCGCGGGGGCGCCCAGACATGGTACTACGCCCTCGAGCAGGACGAGGGCGGCATGCCCCCGTGGGAGCGCTTCCGCAAGCTGTGCCTTCTTCGCTTCGGACCGCCATTACGCGGGAGCCGATTGGCCGAGTTGGGCCGCCTGCTTTTCACCTCCACGGTGCAGGATTTCGCCGACCGCTTCCAGGCCCTGGCGTGTCACGCGCCAGGTGTGACGGCCCTGCAGCGGGCTGAGCTCTTTGTCGGCAGCCTTCTGGATCACATTCACGTCGACGTGGAGCTTCGCGGACCCCAGGATCTCCAGTCGGCCATGTACTACGCCCGCGCGTTCGAGCGCCGCGCGGTGGCCATCCAGCAGGAATCACCGTCCCGGACCACTGGGTCGCTACCCAGGCCGGATTCCGCGCAGGGTCGGCCTGCGCAGGCTTCTGCGGCACCCCTCGCCGCGACTGCGGGACGCCCGTTCCGCCGGCTCACCTCAGCCGAGCTACTCGAGCGTCGCCGCCAAGGGTTGTGCTTCAACTGCGACGAGCCCTACACGTCCGGCCATGCCTGCCCGCGAATCTTCTACCTGGAGGTTGCAGACTACATTCCGGAGGACGCCGTCGCCGCCGACCTTGCCGCCCCAGCTGTCGAGAATGTGTTTGACGCTGGTTGATCGCCTCAAGGAGTTCCGCAAGCACTTCCCCACCTTACAGCTCGAGGACAAGCTGTTTGTGCAGGCGGGGAGAAGTGTTACGGCCGTAGAGGCCCACCGGGCAATCTTAGCCCACAAGTTATCTTAGGTTAATTCTTATGCAAGTTATCTTAGGTTAATTCTTATGCAAGTTATCTTAGGTTAATTCTTATAGGCTGTAAGACTCTTTTTGGAATTAAGCAATAAGAAAATTATCTCTATTGCCCGGCTCCCAGAGGAGCCGGAACCCTAGCCGCCCCCTGCCTCTTGCGCTGCCGCCACCATCTTCCTCTCCCGTGACGGCGCCCAGCCGCCGGCGCGGCCTCTCATCGCCACGCCCAGCCCCCTCCTTCCCCTACCGCCTACGGCCAAGACCGGGCAGAACCCTAGCTCCTAACAGTTGCAAACAATGCCTGAGTACAAAACGTCAAGACTTAAACACACTTTGTGAAAGCTAAAATGTAAAGTTTGTTGTCACCGGTTCCTTCGTTCTCACCAACGACTGTCTGGAGGATGGAGCGCCAGACACAGTGGACTGCAAGTCGGACGCCTGAGCCTGATGGACGTGCCTGAGTGAAGCTACGTCTCTTTGATCAGTTATCCTTTCCAAAATAAAATACCAGCTAGGGTTTCCAATTTTGCTCCCAATGTATGAATGTATCCAAAAATGAGACATTTGTTCAAGGAGGATTCCGGGAATGCAATTACGAATAAATGGTCTATTTCCAAATTAGCGCCATCTCAGTGTGGCAACCAAACACGAATCGTTGAGGCTCAAGCAAATCGCTCCAGCGCAGCAACCAAACTAGCCCAACATGCATTAACATTGTGACATCTTTGTACTACAACCGCTCCATTAAGCACAAGTTCAGAAACGAAGTCCAGCCAACTAATAACTATTAATATGGATCGGAGGGAGCACTGAAATTTCTTTTGGACAGGTGTACGGTGCTAGAATTTTACAGGCTCCTTCTACACCCTTTTCTTGTTTTTGATGAGAATCCTTTTAGAATTGATTCACTTGACTTGCATTTCTGTGACAGTGACTATACATCTGTAACTTCCACACAGATCCTAAGGCTAGAGCAAAGCTATTGGTTACGAAGAAATGAGACCACCCATAGCAGTTAACCTAAATAGTTTTGATGTCGTACCTAGTAAGTCAGACGCCGCTGCTCAGCCTCCGCTTGTCCTGTCCGGCCGGCGAGCTTCCAGTCATCCGCCGCTGCCCGCCACATCCGGGATCGACAGGATCTCAGGCCATGATGCCGCATAGTCGATCCATGGTCCGATTTAGGGATCGGGTCCCAAGATCTGAGAGTGGGCTGGAGGATTTGGGGATTAGGGCTCTTGTTCGTCCTGTGTGTGCGGGGAGGTCTTTTTTTTTTCGGATCTGCGGGGGAGGTGATATACTGATATACTCCAGTGATGTGCATATATGGGCCAGGCCCAGCGCGAAGGAAGAGCAAAACGCTCCGGCCAGGACAGCCGCTGCGTCCCCGATTCCCCTCGCGACTGCTCTGCGCTCCCGCCGATCTCGCCACCTGGTCCCGTGCCTCGCCGTCGACTCTACCCACCCCGCCCCGCCCCGCCCCTGCCCCACCGCGACCAGCCGGCAGCCGCCCAGACCGCACTCGGCAGCCGACGCCCGGCGCGCGGCGTTGTGCAGCTGCACAAGGCACGCAGCCAGCCGCCCAGCCCGATTTGAGGTACGTTTGATAAGATTTCTGCCTCTTCCGCAATTTCTGTTTACTGATTACACTCATTGCTCGTCGTGCTGCCACCTGCCAGTACTTCTCGTTACGTATTAAGGCTTGCTGGGCTCCTCTGTAAATTGTAATGTACTGTGTTACTAGTGATGAGTCCTGTCTAGGAATGTTACTACTTACTACTGAATTGTTTCAGTTTGGATCCATTTTTCTGAATCCATGTGGGCATCTGGAGCTGTAATTTTCAGAAATGTTACTAACTACTGAATTGTTTCAGTTTGGGTCAAACAATTGATACGTTGTTCTCATTTTCTGAATCAGTAAATTTCGTTGTCATATTAAAGAACATAATGTCAACTAGGACCACATGATTACATATATGTATAAAATGTGGAAGAATGAACACATGCACATGGTCTTCTTTGAACTTTTCAAGGCATGTAGGTTTTTTCTTATGCAAAATCAAGATTTATTTGAGATTTTTTTTCTAAGATCATATTGATCAACTTCTATTGTGCTATTGGCATATCATATTTATCGTAATTTTTTTAAGGTGGACCACCCTGTTTCAAAATCTTTGATCCACCAGCCAGCCGCTGCTGCCACCACCGTCAGAGGCAGAGTCTTGGCTTCCAACCGTCCTCCTGCGGCCTTCTAGCCGCTGCCACCACCTGCGGCCACCAACCTCTCTCCTGCACGCAGGGGGTCCCACAGCAACTGAACCACCTCTCGCAGTCCAACAATGGAGGGTCTCCTCGACAGGCCCCTGAACCTGAACAAGCTTCTTAAGGAGCAGTGAGTGCAAAGTTCAAACCCTACCTGCGTTCGCACCACTTTATTCTCGCCCGTACTGCTCTGCTAACTTGTAGGTATTCTCCCCCTTCATGACGCAGATTCGTGAGCAACCTGACGGGGTCGTCCCTTCTGGAGATCGCGGTGCTCTCCACTATCGTGCCGGTGACTGATCAGTCTCTCTCCCTTAGATTCCCAATATTTCTGTATCTATATATGCACGTCAGGG